ACCGCCTCGTCCTGCTCGTCGTCGCCGCGGGCCGCGGACAGCGTGTCGGTGGAGCGTATGGAGACGCTGGTGCATCTGGTGCTTTCCCAGGACCACACCATCCGCCAGCAGGTGCAGCGGCTCCGGGAGCTGGACCGCGAAATCGATCGCTACGAAGCCAAGGTGCACCTGGACCGCATGCGGCGGCACGGAGTCAACTATGTGCAGGACACTTACTTGCTGGACGCCGGCATCGAGCTCGACGGGCCCAGCCCGGGAGAGGAGCCCGAGCCGGAGGCGGTGGCGATGGCGGCGGCGCCCCTGGACGGCCAGGTGCAGGCAGTGGCGCTGGAGGAGCTGGCCCAGCGCTGCGACGACCTATTGAAGCTGCAGGAGCAGCGGGCCCAGCAGGAGGAGTTGCTGGAGCGCCTCTCGGCCGAGATTCAGGAGGAGCTGAACCAGAGGTGGATGCGCCGGCGCCAGGAGGAGCTCGCGGCGCGGGAGGAGTCCCCGGAGCCCGATGGCAGCCTGGACGGGGAGCTGCTGCTGGAGCAGGAGCAAGTCAGGACGCAGCTCAGCACCAGCCTCTACATCGGGCTCCGGCTCAACACGGACCTGGAGGCCCTCAAGTCGGACTTGGATTACAGCCAGCAGCAGTGGGACAGCAAGGAGCGCGAGCTGCAGGGCCTCCTCCAGACTTTGCACACGTTGGAGTTGACGGTAGCACCTGATGGGACTACCTGCTCTGGTGGACCCTCGCGGGAATCCCGGCCTCAGCCCGGCGCTGAGGTGTGGGTGGATCAGGCCCGCGGAATGGCCAAAAGCTGTCCTGGCAACGACGAGGACTCGGACACGGGGCTGAGCTCCATGCACAGCCAGGACTCAGACTCGGTGCCCGTGTGCGAGTCCCTTGTATAGGAGGAGCAGGGTCAGGAGGGACACGTATGCTTTCCCCTTTCCTGTAGCAAGGCCTGGCCAGGCCGGTCGGTCGGTCGGGGACGTGAAACCAGGCTGCGGGTGGGCCCCGAGCTCCTGAGCGGCAGCAGGCCTCCGACTGGGCTGGGAAGGGCTCCGGAGGCCTGCCTGGTAGAGGCCTCCTGTGTCTGGGGGTGAGTGTGGAGGAGGGTGCAGGACCAGTGTCTCCAATCCAAGCTCTTCAGGGAAAGGGGGGAGGGAGGAGGTGAGAACCCCTCTCACTGGAAAACAAACACCCCGGGGAAACTTGACATGGTCCTAGCCTATTTGCAAAAACAGAAAAAGGGGTGTTTTTGGGAATTTCAGCACTCTGTATGGGGAGGACTGATGGCAGCTAGAATTTTAGGTTGTAGCATAAAGTGCTTTTAAAAGAAACACTTGGATGAAAAGGAAATTCCTTGAATGTTAATTGTGACTCTGAACGTGTTAAAACTAGCCAAAGAGGACACACTGGTGTTGGTTTCAGCCGTACTTAACATCTTTCATAAAACCCATAGGCACTAAAATCCTGGCTGTTTACATTTCTGCAGATATGGAGTTATCCATCTGCTAAGCTGTTTGCCTGTTATTTTCTTTAAAAGACTAAACTGTACCAAAGTCTAACCCCATGTTTCCTCCTAGTAAATACAGTATCTGGTAGAATGGGATCCCTTTTCCAAAATAACTTTTATTATTACAAAAACCAAACGTATCTCTTTTGAGATACAGGTTTCTGGCAGACATAATTCTTGGTTAAAGTTTAATCTGGGTCTTTGGGGTTTGCTCCTGCAAAGGTTTGTGTGTTTTCCTTTCATTCATATTGCCATTTCATTAACTTAATCACTGTTATTTCAGGGGGAAAAAAATAAAAGGGAAGTTCCAGAATTCAAGTTAAGTACAACTAAACTTGCTGTTAAATGAGCACTCCCATTGAAGCTAAGACTTGAAAGCAAAGATCATTGTCAGTGTTCAGCTTTTGAACTGAGCTCTATGATCAAAACCAACCATGACCTTAACAGATTTCACCCAAACCCAAGTCTAACTTCAGTATTTTTGGTCAGGGAACAGTTACTTTTCCAAACTGAAATTGAGATAGTGTGAATGCCAGGATTTACTAGATCAGGCCTGAAAAAGATAAAATACAATCAAGCTAATAATACATCTTGGGTAAACAAATGGATTAACAACAGCAGGTAGTCATAGATAAAAGCATATAAAAGTGAGCTAACGACTTGAATTACTCTTGTCTGGCTCACGCCTTTGCACACGCCAGGAGATGCAAGTGCAACCTCTCTCTCACTTGTTCCCTCGCTCCATAGCTGGAGACAGAGCCCTGGTGGGGACTCGGTGTAATTGTTGCAGTTATTTCAATGAAAACTTATCAGTTGTAGCTAGCTGCTGCCCTATGGAAGGAGCCTGCTGGCAGTGTTCCCTCTGGAGTGCAGTACTTCTGAGGAATGTGGGATCTAATCTGTCCTGAGGAGGTGTTAACAATGGGGTGTGTGTGGTGCCAGCCTGGTGCAGAAGCCTGGTATCAACCTAACCCAGGAGCGGCTGGCTCCAGTTTCAACACTACATGTGAAGATAACTTAAGAGGTCTTGCTTTATAGAGAAGTTTCCTCCTTGGAGAGATTCTCTGCCTGCTTGTTGCCAACGGGGGCCTGCTCACCTAACCTGAAGCCATTGGGGTGTCTCCTTTTGAGAGTCAGCACCCCCCTACCTCCCAGTGCTATTACAACATGTGTGGATATTTTCAAATTTTTAAGTAAAAGGCCGGTTTCTTAATTGATGTTTTCAAAAGACATTAACTGGCATAATTATGGTTTTTTAGTTTTGTCTGATGCAGAAAACATCTATGTGTTTGGATTCGAGCATGATTAAAATGAGGAAGGGACCAAAAAAACCCCACTGTCCCTAGACAATCATTTGGTCCCATAAACACAAAGCCTAATGATAGCTTTTCTTTTGAGGCAAAGGTAAAATCCTCATTAGAGTGTGACAAACGCTACTTGTCTGAATGGTCTATGCTGGCAATGGGCTGACCTAGTGGTTTTAAAATTATTGTGCTTTTTTTTCCCCCTCAGGGTGGTAGGGAAGTTGGACATTTATTAACTCCAAAGCGAGCACAGAAGTTGGCAGAACAGGACTGCCTGGCAGAAAGGGGCTGTTTTCCTGTTCACTGTTATTATTTTAAACTTTGATGGGCTGCTGACGTCAGCAGATATGCCCGAAGCTTGTAAAGCAAATAAAGCCACATCACAGGGAGAAGGCCTGTGGGATTTTCTGGTGCCCTCTTTCCAGAACCTTCTGTCCTGGCCATCTGAAAATTTTTGCCTCTCCAGTCAACAATTCAGGCACCAAGCAGGCTTTGTTTGATACCAAAATGAAGTTCAGTCTGCCCTTCCCCGCCCCCATCCAAATCAACTATATCCGCAAAAGGCACTCTCTGTGTGGGTAGGAGAAAGGACAACAGGTGAGGGGAAAGGAAGGAGACAATAGTTCCTTTTACTAAGAGCTTTTGCAAGCCTGAGAAAGGTGAAATATAGATAAATAAAAAGCAAATCAGTGCCTCTGCCTAGAAAGTGGCTAATGAATGCTAAACATTTTAAAAACTTCATTCCTTTTTTTAAAAAATAATTATCACGGCATTAAGAATGGAAATGAAGGCTTTGAATGCATTGGCACCAGGATTTCAGTGCCCCTGGTAAAAGTAACCCCTCCTGCTCTTCTAACCTTACAAAAGTCCTGGGGAGGAGAGTAGGGAGCAGGCTCCTCCCAACCAGTCCCATCTTTTTTTGTAATTAATACAATTTATCGTATTTTTTACCTTTAATTAGTCCATTCTTGGCCATCTGACCAAATCAAAAAGATTCCATCTGTCATTTCTGTTTACTTCCTTATGAAACAAGATAAAGACGAGGAGGAGGATTTGCTAATTAGAAAAGTTACATACTATGGTCCTCCTGATGGACCTGAAAGTAACAAGTAAAAAGAAAGGAAAATCACTCAGAATCTTGTCACCAAAAGCTTATCACTACCGAAATTTGAGATACTTCCTTCCAGTTCTTTAGAATTGTGAATATTTCATATTTTGCTTATTTTTTAAAACAATATTCAGTGTTAATGAGATTGTTTATATGCTTTTATGCTCAGGTTTTGACAGATTCCTCTAATTGGCTCCATCTATCTGTTGGATGTACCATGGTGCATATTATTAGGTCATTCCTGGTATTTTTCATTGTTATAAAATGACACTGTGCACATACCTGTTTCTCTAATTAGACTCCCTTTCAAAGAGATAGCTTCCCAGAAAGAGAATTCCCCAAGGGTACAAATATATAAAAACTTGACACTTAATTGCCAAATTGGTTGTCAAAAGATCTGTTCTAATTACAATCCTCTGTGCATGGCAATGCCTATTTCACCACCCCTTAGCTTTCATTAGCTATTGTATTTTGGTAAGAAAATATATTGACCAAAATGAATGAATTCTTTGTGGTCCCAGGAAGTCAGGGCTGGCAACCACAGCCTTAAAATACCTTTACAACAGAAAGGGCAGCTCATCCTAACAGGAATGTTAAAAGGACAAGGCACCTTCTCTCCTTCCCATTTCCTTGTTCTCCCTGAGCACTGCTTGGTAATAGCAATCCCGGCTCATATCAGAGCTGGCCATCCATCTCTCTGAGCAGGAGGGGCCAAAATACCACACCAGCAAGATTAAGGGGGTTAACAAATAAAAGAACCAGACTTATAAAAAGAAAATATTATCTTTTTGCATCTTGAGTCTATCAGAAAAGGTTATGCTTAGAAGGTGATGTCATACAATATATTTGATTTTGTGCTTCTCCCTTCCCACCCATATAAAAAAAAAAAAGCCAAAATGAAATCAGTACACACAGTAAATAGCTATGATACTACATCCGAGCTCATCCTTAAATTCTTGAAAAGGGAAAATTTGGTCACGACAATTTGTGAAATTTTTGTTCTGGAAATGTTTGTGAAACGTGTCTTTGTAAACGGAAAGGAAGGAGGATAGGGAGGAACTGTCTTGTTGAGTGCTTTCCAAATGCTAAATCCTGGTGCTTTTTCATGTGCATTGTCTCGCATTCATCTCATGAGATAGAACTTTTGGCCTCTGATTTTACTGATAAAGAAACCCACATCACCCTGTTGGTAAGTAGCAGATCCAGGATTCTGACCCAAGTCTGACTCCAAAACCTGTGCCCATTTTGCTGTATCACACCAAGCGCATTATACCCACGAAGCGTTTGGCATACTCGGAAAAAAGATCTCACAGGCCCCAGAGTGTTGGCATTGGGATGGACTCAGAGGTCATCAAATCTTGTCCAAGTATTTCCACTCGTGCGGTGGAGTGATTTTCTCTGAATCATAGAGGTAGTCACTGTCTTCCAGGTGAGGATTAGGGAAAAAAGGAGGAGAAATTCTTACGTAAATACCTGGGCATCTGTCTGAGAGGTGAAGCCTTTGCCAATGAAAAATATTTCTCACAAAAATTAATATCCTGTGCATCGGCATGAACGTTTCAACTGCAGGCTTCAATGGCACAGGTACAGTCACAGCTGGAAGGTGGTATCAACAACCACAGCTGTGCTGGAGTAGTCCCCAGTGCTTCTAACCAGGCCTTGTTTCTAGTTAAGCCTCTGGGTAAATGAGGATCATGGAAGGGTCAAGAGATGGAGTGCTGGGCCTTGTGTGGGCTTCCGTGTCCGTGGAGTTAGGCATGCACACCTGACTGAGGGTGTCTTTGGCCACACTGACTCCACTGCGCATGTGGAGGCCAAGCCCGGATTACTTTGAAGGACACTGTCCTGCCTCTACCTCTCTCATCCATTCCCGTGAAAATTTTCCCTGTTTTCAAACACCTCCAGGATTCCCTACAGCTTTCAGGATAAAATTTACATTTCTTAGCAGGATTTAATAAGTTGCTGGTTATCCAGCTCAAGGCCCCTCTCCCAAGTCCACTCTTTTCTATCTTATTTTACTTCATGTTACCCTTCCTCTCCCATTGCCACTCCTAGTTCCCTCCTTACTCCTGCCATAGGCACCTATCCCAATGTGTTTAATCCATGAGCTTCCATGCTGCCCACCTCCAGGGGGCACTATTCATGTTGTATTCTGGAACCATGCTCCAGAGGAAACTTTGAATGGAAACCCTGGAGTTGAGCAGTGTGCTGGCCTAATCCATTTGCTCAGGTATTACATGCATCCTTGAAAAGTAGAATAAAACTGTCTATGTGCTTATGCTTAATATACATGACTTTCACTGGGCTAGAAAGCCCATTGTATTTATTTCTTTTTTTCACATGACAGTATGTTTGTGTGAGCACTCTGCATTGCAATATGTAAATCTAGTTAATTATTTTCTTATCTTATTTCCACTTATTTATATATTCCTGGAACACCTATGGTGTTAGCAATTTCATACTATCTCAAACAATGGATGATGGAGGGAACACCTGGGCTTTGAGCTTCTCAAGGTGGAGAAAGTCCATGATGTGGTTCTGGGAGTGGATGGCTAAAGAGAATGGGGGGAAGATCAAGGTCATCAAAGCTGGAGGACCAAGGATGTTAGGAGACACATCTACACGGATGTTGAAGCCTCCCATGATGATTTCAGGAATTGGTATGGAGAGAGGAAACGGTCTGGGAGTGAAGGGACAGAGAGAGGTTAATCAATAGAAGCAATATTGTGACAACAGGGGAGGCTTGCATTGAAGCAGTGACTGGGAAGAGAGGTGAATGACCCTGTGACTCTGATCATGTCCCTCTCAGCTCAGCATACACCAAAAGTTCCCATTTCCCACTGGAGAAAGTTCAAACATCTTAGCACATCCTGCACAATACATCTTAAAAGCCTCACCTCCCATCTCCACCCTCTCTAGCATCATTGAACCACTTGAGTTTTCCTGTTCACACCTCTGTCCCTTTGCACATACCATTCTTTTCATCTTGAAGGATGTCTGTCCCTTCTTCATGGCCTAGTTCAAATGTCATACTTCCATAAACCCTTGCTCAAATGCCCATGCATTCATTCAGGGAGCTGGTATTTATTGAGCCTCTAGCTTGTGCCAGCCTCGGAGGCACATATTCATTTGGTCCTTCCTCTGTGCCACCCCGTTGAAGCTTTCCAGGTCTGTCGGCAGAGAGGAGACTGGCTCAGCATCAGAGTTCCCAGACTTGACTCAGTAATCACCAAACCTGAGAACCAGGCTCCATTGGAATTCCATCAACAGGAAGAGCTGGACAGGTTTCTTCTCATTTCCTCGCCTTAATTCCGACTCAGCAGCTTCTACAGCTATAAACAACAAAGGATATTTAATAAGTGAGATGCATTGGTCTGTGAAACAGTGTTCCTGGTTCATTAGGAAGTTGTGGTCAGGTTTTATTGCAGTACGTGCTTCATATCTTGATTTCTGGGCACCTGTGTGCACAACTCTGTCTGTATCTGGGCACGGGGTGATTTTCACCGAGATTCATTTACTTTGCCGTAAGCAGAATGGAAATAACTGAGAGAATCTCTTGGCGGGGGTGGGGGGGGGGTGAGAGGGCATTCCTTTGGTGTAGAGATTACACATTGGGTGGCATAAGCACACCCACTTAGAGGACAACTTTTAGTCAACAAATATTTCTTAAGATGAGCACTGTGCTAGGCTCTGAGCTCGGCACTGCAGAACAAAGATAAGCCTGCTCCCGGCCCTCCGGGAGCATCAGAGCCACTGCTGCTCTACCTGCAACTGTGCTCTTTCCTTGCCCTCCTCCTGGCCTGGTCAGTACAACTCATGTCTCAATTGTTAGCATAAGCCTCCCCTTTTCTGGAAAGCCTTCCATGGGCCCTGGTAGAGATGATGAGTTGTCTATTCAATACCAATTTTTTCTTCATCCTACGAATAAACTCTGGTTATAGTCAATAGCATTGTACATAGCTGGTAAACTGCATTTCCCAGTCTCCCTTACATTTAGGAGTGGCTATTAAGATGTAAGAGGAGCCCTAACTGGTTTGGCTAAGTGGATAAAGCATCGGCCTGCAGACTCAAGGGTCCCAGGTTTGATTCCGGTCAAAGGCACGTACCTTGGTTGCAGGCATGTCCCCAGTGGGGGGTGTGCAGGAGGCAGCTGATCGATGTTTCTAACTCTCTATCCCTCTCCCGTTCTCTGTAAAAAAACCAAACAATAAAATATATTTTTTAAAAAAGATGTAAGAGGAAGAAGTTTTGTCAGAATTCTAGCTGACTTAGTTTTAAAAGGTGCCCCTATTTTCCCCTACTTCCCTTTTTCTCTTTATTTTTGGATCCCAGATGTGATGGCTGGTGCTCTTGCAGCCACTTTGAACAATCTTGAAAATGTAAGCCATTAAGAATGGCAGAGGAAAAAGATAGAGGGAAGCTGGAAACTACTTTAAAAGCCTTGGACTGCCTACCTCTGGATTTCTTCATTTTAGATAAACAAATGAACCTTACATTAAGCCTGCTTTTATGATTGAATCTAATCCTAACCAATACAACCCGAAGACTGCTTTATCCACCTTTCTTGATTGACTTTTCTTCATAGCATCACTATCGGGCATCTTTATTGGTATGTGTCTCCCATTACAACGTAAGCTCCATGACAATAGTGATTTCTCGTGGTCTTGAACAGTGCCTGGCACATAGTATATCCTCATTATAAAGTTGCATTACTTGTCATTATTGTTATATATGCCCTCTGGCATAATAGTCATCATACCTGCCACCACACACTTAATGTCCATCTTCCCCACCACTCCCATATAAAGGAGACATATCTATCTTGCTCTCTGTGTAACATCAGCATCTAGCCTAATCCTAGCACATAATCTATATAATAAAAGCTTAAGCAACTGTTACAGTGGAATGACCAGAAAGACCGGTCACTATGGTGCACACTGACCACCAGGGGGCAGATGCTCGACACAGGAGCTGTCTCCTGGTGGGGGAGTGCCGCTCAGCCGGAAGCCAGGCTCATGGCTGGGGAGTGCAGTGGTGGTGGCGGGAGCCTCTCCTGCCTGCAGCACTAAGGAGCAGGAAGCTGAGCAGTAAGGAGCAGCGAGCAGGCGGGCGGTAAGGACCGAGGGGTCCCAGACTGCTAGAGGGACAGGCCAGGCTGAGGAACCTCCCCCATACCCAGTGCATGAATTTTGTGCACTGTGCCTCCAGTTGATCAATAAAACTGCATCAACTGGAGCAACTTTTCTTTGCTAGAAACTAGGGCAGGAGAAAGGCGCCTGAGGAAGGCAGGCTGCTTTGACAGGGGTAATCTTAGTGAGGGAAGCAGTCCAAGTAGGGGTGGGAGGTGAGAACTGGACAGTGTCTCCCAGGGAGCTAGAGGAAATGAAAAAGAAGGCCTCTTGGGAGTCTCCTGGATTGGAAATTTACCAAGCTTATGGAGAAAGATGGAATGAGAAAAATGGCAGATGCTTGATGTACCCAATTGCTCATGAGAAATGAAATTGCTCTAAATGCTTGGAATTCCTAATCTTATTGGATTAATTATCAAAAATATTGAAGACATACAAGTTATGAAGTCATGTGTTGGAACTGAAATAATGTGTCTGAGCACAGGATAGGGTACCGAAAAAGGATGAAGTAAGCCATGAGAATAATAGAAATTCTGTGGAAGACTTTTGACAGCCTGAGGCTCCAAAATTAAAGGTTCTGGATGAGTATAATTTCCCATTGTTATGGGGTGAATTATACCCCCAGCAAAGATATGTTGAAGTCCTAACC